CCCCCCACACACACACACACACATTAATTTTATATTTTATATTCGCGTGTCTTCTGTCTTGGCAAATACGTGTTTTTTCCCCCATATTTGCCCCCATAGATAAAGGCCTATGAATGAAGTCCATTTAAGAGGAACACTCCTGGACAGCTTTTTTTTAAATTTTAATGTTCAAGTTTGTCATAGCAATAACATGAAAGAAATACTAAAAAATGAAGTAACAAATGCTAAGAATGAAGTAACGGCATGTTAGTTTAATGTTTTGTTTAGGGAGGGTATCGATTTCAATACGTTTTTCTTTGTTAAATCAAAATCTGATCCACTTCACATGAACTCATACAGAAGCAAACATTTTCTCGGTCTCAGGTTCATATCGCGTTAACCGAAATACCAATGTTTGTAACAAATTTCAAGCCCATCATACTTCAAATACAAAGCATTCGTGAAATTTTAATTTCAGTACAAATGAATTCAATTACAATGGCAGAACCGGAGGTGGGGGGAGGAGGGGGTGGTATGAATAATTCTTAAAGCAAATTTCACGCTTTTTACCTCACCACTGTTAACAAGCATCACTAATACATGACGTAATCCACAAACTAATTTGAACAGGGTGACATCATTTCTTTAGATTGCATAACATTGTGTCCTATTCTCTGTCAACCCTATTGCTCATTTACGGGTTTGGTCAAGCGAAAATTAGACAATTGAAACCCCAAACAGTAAGTTCAGACTTCTAAATTAACAACGAGTGTCTAGAATAGGTAAAATCCATTCAGAAAGCATTCAAATAACTAACTTGTCGAACACCCATGTCATCATCAGCATCATGAAGTGGCTAGTGTTGGTTCTCCTGGCTGTGTACGTGGGTGGCGCTATGTCTGCGTCCTGTGACGCCTTGAAGAAACGCCGCTGTACCAGGGAGTACAAACCTGTGTGTGCGACCTTCACCCGGACCTTCCCCACTCAATGCGTCCTCGAGTCAATGAGGTGTGAACTCGCCAAACAAGGCTGGCAGTTAGACAAGGTGAGAGCAATAGCGTCTTTGTTCATCAATAATCAATATCCCCAAATCAAAAGAGTGGAACAGTTCTAGTGGGTTGCTTTTGTTTTTTGTTTTGTTGTTGTTGTTGTTTTTGTTGTGGGAGGGGGGTGTTTTTTTGTTGTTGTTTTTTTTTTGTTTGTTGTTTGTTGTTTGTTGTTGTTGTTTGTTGTTTTTTTGTTTTTTTTGGAGGGTGCGCATGTTGTCATTTGGAGACCTTTCGAGATAGCTCAAATGTAGACCACACGGGCGACAGGGAAGTACCGTATATGTTGTTTTTTTCTTTCTTTTTTTCTTTTTGTTTGTTTTTTCAAAGGTGAAAACGGTCAAGTCTATAATTTCATTCAGCAACCAACCCTAAAATAATATTGTGAATCATAAATAACTACACTTAGTTTGTAAACGGGCGTTCGAACATCCTTTACCCCAACCACAACCCCATCCCACCACGGCTTCGCCACTCATTTTCTTACCTAAGGAAGATGACTGGTCCACTCTGTACTAATCGTTATTTTCTCAATGTTCATCCACAGATTGTGTCCAAACGAGACTGCTGTCAGCGGCCAATAACCTCTGAATTCCATTACGTATGTGGATCTGACGGTGAAGTGTACATGAACCCTATGGGCATGGAAATCGCAGCTTGTGAAAAGAGAGACTATATCAAGTCCGTGCCTCTCTCCAACTGCCCAAATATCCATCGCCCTCCTGGCACTCTCGATGGCCCTGGCATTGTCCCTGTCCCTCGCCCCATGCCAATGCCTATGCCTGGCCCTGGCCCTATCCCTATTCCTGCTCCTGAACTTCTCCCATGGGAAGGAATTGTCCTGCACTAGACGCTGACGCAAACGCGTGAAATAAAGTTCCAGAAGCGTCCAGAAATGAATGTCTCATGGGTTTTTTGTTCAAACCCACCTTGTCAAAAAGAATGTCTGAATGAAACAAACAGTAGCTTTAATTCAGCATGCGATTCTCAGCGTTTCACGTAACTAAGCTACATAGGTATGCAATATATCCACTCTCAAACATGATGAAACATGTATGTTTATCTGCAACCTTAAAAGGACTTTATGTCCTTCTCCGAAAGTACAGAGCCAAGTGATGAGGGCTTGAAAACACCACAAACAATAGTACGTTTGATGGTGTGATAATGGAGAGGGCAGGTGTATTTGTATACTTTTTGGTAAAGTCTGCATTTTTGTCTTTTTTTAGATTCTACGCTGAAAACTCTCTGAGAAACATGTAGGCCTACTTAGACGGAGTTCACATGCTATTTGTTGTAGAAACTCTTGGAATTCAAATGTTCGTCTGCTGAATGACTAGCAAACCAATAAATTACAGTTTGATAACTGTTTTTCTCCTGCTCAACACAGTTTACTTAATTTAGAATGCATCCAACTTCATCGCTGCACGTAAAGGCCAAGCCAAATTGTGTGGGATTTAGTCCACCGTGATAAAATATAGTTCTACAAACAGGAATCGACTTCACGTCCTTCGAGCAAAAAAATATTGAGGAGCCTCATCATTAAAACACACACACACACACACACACACACACACACACACACACACACACACACACACACACACACACACACATATATATATATATATATATATATATATATATATATATATATATATATATATATATATATATATATATATATATATATGTATATATTATATACACACACACACACACGTTTGGCTTGGGAATGGCAACAATGGGGGCACACCAGTCTGTTGGCTCAGAGACTGGCTCAATAACTTCTTGCTCCACCATCTTCTCAAGCTTTTCTTTCCCTTTTTCTTTCAGTGGCAGGGGGTAGTCGACGAGGAACTGCAACAGAAAACGGTTTTGCTTCTTGATCCAGTGTGATCTTGTAGGGCTTGTTTATCTTTCCTAACCCCGTAAATAACTCTGCATATTCCGAAGGTATACTTTGTTTCTTCACCTCGTTCACTCTCTCCAAGAGTTTCAAAGCTTCTATAGCTGGTCTACCTAACAGAGGCTCATTCAGGTTTGTGACGACATACAAATCCTGTTCTGAAGATGTATTTCTGGTAGCCAATGTAGCCCTGACTACTCCTTTTACCTGTAGTTCCTGGTGTCCTGCTCCAAATAAATTCTTCTCTGTTTTCTTTATTAGCGGTGAGTTTTTCTTGAAATATCTGTCCGGTATCACCGTGACGTCTGCACCAGTATCCACTCTATACTTAACTGGCTTTCCTATTGTAGTTATTTGTGCGTGCCACAAGTCATCGTTGCTTTGCACGGCCCTGACACCATACTCGTTTTCCAGCTGTAGTGTTCCCAGGAAAATTGTTTCAACTTGTCTTACCAACTTCTTGTCTTTGTTTCTACAAGCTGTGGAGAAGTGTCCTCTCTTTTTGCATGTGTAGCATTCCGCATGTTTGGCAGGACATTCTTGTTTATCGTGTGGACCTCTTCCACATCTGTGACATTTTTTACCTATGTTTTCTTTTTTTTGAATTTTTGCTTGGGGCCCTGACCTTGACCTTGACTTTGACCTTGCCTGTAAAACTTTCCTTTCTGTAACCTGTTTACTTCTGAAACTTCGTTTCCAGTACTTTGGCTCATTGTATGCGATTGTGTCCTAGATGACTCATATGCTCGTCCTATATCTAGACACTTTGTTAGGGTGAGATTTTTGTCTTCCAAAAACTTTTCTCTTAAGCTTTCTTCTCGCACTCCTATCCCCACCTGATCTCTTATTAAGCGGTCTTGCAACTGTGTGTCTCCGAAGTTGCAGGACTTGGCTAGCTGACGAAGTTGTGCAATGTAGGCCTCTATTGTTTCGTCTTGTTTTTGTTTCCTCATGTGAAACTTGTGAGACTCGTAGGCTTCATGTTTCTTTCCTATGCAAAAGTCGTCAAAAGCTTGTATGACGCTTTGGAGATTTTTCTTATCTGCCTCGTCCTCGAAGTGGAAACCTTCGAAAATGTCTACAGCATCTTCCCCAATCGTCGCTAGAAACACTGCACATTGGAAATCTTCTTCTTCCTTGTTTAATCTGGTGGCGATCGCATAATTTTCGAAGTTTCTCTTAAACTTTTTCCACCCTTGTGCTAGGTTTGTGCCATCTGTTACGTTTAATTTTGATGGAAGGGGTACGTTGGCTGTGTATTGCTTCTGCTGGTTTTCCCTGTTATGTTGTGCCATTTCTGTTCACTTGTTGTGGAACTAGAAATCCAGAATAGATCTACTCAAATAAAAGACTCTAAGTCTAGAAGTCTAGAATCTCCAGACCCAAACAAACAAACAAGTCACAGTTCCAACTCAACACTGTTCATAGTTCAAAACATCTAGATTCTAGTTAATCCAGGCCTATTACCACATCTAGATAATCTACTTCTATCCAGATCTCTAGTTTCTAGCTCCAGAATCCAGATCTAGATCTACATCCAAAATCCTTCCCGTTTTCAAACATTTAACTGTCTAAACCTAACTAGTCTAGACCTCTACTCTCACAGAGCACTGTTCTTGATAGATAAACTCTAGCACTTCATTGAATTTGGGTGTTTTCTTGAAGTAGTTGGCTGTTCAGTAGCCACTTCTGACACCATGTAAAGTTACCTGGCGGTCCGATGAGTCGGGTCTGTCAGGGGGGGTCCCTTCCAAGATAAGTGTTGCCTCGTCGTGGTCCTGAGTTCGACTGAATACCTCAGTGAGTCTCTCAGACGATGTCTCTCTTTTTCGCGCCGGGCTCTTGACGTCATCCAAGGGCGTGCCATCCCCTAATTATCTTGTCCCCACAGTAAAGATAAGAGTCATGTCCCTTGACATCACATGGTTGCAAGCAGCAGGTGAGTTGCTCTGGGGTGAATCTTCGGTGTTGCCGCTCGCTGCTCGAGTGACAGGCTTTTGACTTGCAAGTCTACTGCCGCACATAGAAAGGCTGGCTGTATTTTGTCTTGGCATCATAAACTGCCGTGGGCTCATTACATTTTAACAATTAAGATTCAGATTCATAGTAGACATTTTTTGCTACAACTCTGAATCACTGAATTGCACTGAGTTGCTCAAGTGAGTTGGGGGTTGATTCCCGCAAGTGGGAGTTGCGAGCAGTCAAAGAGTCTACATAACAGGAGGGGCCACTCCTCTCTTTGAGCAAAAGCGAACCCTTTGCGAACAGAGTTACACTACTTGAGTTTAGAAAATCAAAGTGAAACCAGCAAATTTTTGGATAAATGTTGGAAGAACGCTTTTTTAAAATGGTTAGGCTGTCAAAAAAACTCTCCCGGAGGTAGGGGTGATTGTTTTCTTCGTTTAATTTGACTTTAGAATGAAGGGCGAGAGGTCATTAAATTTTTTTTTTAACCCTAAATCTCCGCACTGAACGAACCCGAACTGCTGATGAACAGCAGTCGGTCTGCGCACGCAAGGAGGTGCTATTTAGTGTAGTAGAGGAACGACAAAAATACTGGAAGAAAGGAAAGGAAAAAATTGCAAAAGAAACAAAAAGTATCGGGATGCACATAGAATTAGGTCACTTTCAACATACTAAAAATGTACATTCACGCTTTAATTTGAAATGCTATTTTTAGCTCATGACGTCATCGGGGTCAACTTTATATAAAAAATATCTTTTAGAACATAGTCATGTTGCACCTTGTTTGAAAGCTCGACAAATATGCTGTTTGAATATGTAATATTGAAAAAGCTTGGAGGCCAAATAGGAACACAAACACACCAAATGGAATTTCACAACAGTAGATCGTGCACGTTCATCATATCTGGTATTTCAAGAGTATCAAGCCCGTCAGGAAACTCCAGGAGACTGATATCATCTTCCTCAGTAAGTGATGGGCAATTTGTGCAGGTCAAACCCATGTAACCTCCACAGGAAATGGAGCATTCCAGTCCGTGGCGACGACACGTGCGATTTGTGGACTTACAATCTGTTCTACAGCTGCTCTTAATCACCTTCAACAGAGAATGTGGGGCAGGTGACATATATGTCGTGCATGGCTCTAAGTGATCATCGTGCAGCTGCCATCCCCATTGTGTCTTGAATATTACCTGCACTTGAAGATACACCGGAAGACTGTGGTACTTGGCTGCAGTACTGGTTGGCGGCAAGCATTGGATTTGGACGGATGTGGCACATGATGCAACCTTTATATAGAACCTCTTGTAGCGCAAGGGTGTCTGCAGCAGTGCCATTGTAGAGACTGACTAAAGCTCTTTCTCCAGCATCACTGATGTCTTCCTGAGTCTTTCCTGCTGTGCAAAAAATATGAGCTCGCTTTCGAAAATGAGCATCTGTCAATTTTCTCATTGGAACCACTGTTCCCAGCCCAAAAAGTCTCGAAGTTAAATAACAGCCTTTGACAGCATGAAGAAAATGACACGTTTCTTCGCCTAGTTTCTCCTACAGGTTCTGGATGTTTAAACTTTTTGTGATTGTCGCCAGATTTTCTGTCTGATCTGAAAATAATAGGCCTGCTACTGAGCAGTGCATGGTGACAAAGGAGCACAAGCAAGTCTGTATCTTCTCCAATGACAGCTACAGGGTGGGTTGCTGCATACTCCATGGCAGTTTTTACTATGAGTGTGTCGGCATCTCCAGCAGCGTGAAGACAGTGGCAACCAAGAGCCATCCGAGTGCCTCTAAGGAGGTGAACGAACTCCTGTTTGTTTCTTGGATTTGAAAGGAAGTGTTCCTTGCTTGAGGTCAATGGCATTTCTTTGGGGAAGACAACAGCTGGTCCGACCGCACCTGCAGAACGCCTGAGGAAAGCGGCATCTTTTACTGATGGGCCCGACTCATACCCATCAAACACCACGATGGGCTTAGAATATTTCCTGTTAACATATTCAGCATACCTATTACAAATTACGGAAACGGGCTCTT